CAGGAGCAGAGAGATGATGATGATGGTCATGACGAAGATGACGATCAGTGAGCTCTCATGATAAAACACTGTATACAGTCAGCCCATTCTCATCCCTAGGCGTCATGAAACTGACGCCTTGGGAATCATTTTGACCATGCTTCAATATTTGACGCTTTAGGCACCCTTTAGCGTCAGTTACATGACGCGATCCTAGGGCGTCATCTCACTGACGCTTTACCTTTAACGTCAGTTAGATGACGCTATCTAATCCTAACCCTACCCCAGACCTAAACCTACCCGCGTCATCTAACTGACGCTAAAGGTAAAGCGTCAGTAAGATGACGCCCTAGGATCGCGTCATGTAACTGACGCTAAAGGGTGCCTGAACAAAGCGTTGAATATTGAAGCATGGTAAAAATTGTCATTTTAGTGACGCCTTGGGATGAGAATGCGTTGATACAGTGGGTATAGAAAAGAATCACCCCCCTTTAAAATAATCACATTTTGTTGCTTTGCAGCCTGAAATGAAAACGGACAAAAATAATTTGTTTTATTCAGCTGTATTTACCACTTATAACATCCAAGTGAAAGATAAAATACCAACTTGTCAGAATTTTTTTTTTTACAAATTAAAAAACAGAATCACTGAGTTGGAAAAAGAATCACCCCCCTCCTAAAAATGACTTGTAACCCCAACCAGGTGTAGTTAATCACCTTCTCAATAGCACACAAAGCCAATTGACTTTCAAATGTGATCAGCTGGGGTCATTTTGATTAGCTAAGCATGAAACAAGCTTTTCCTGAAGCATTTCAGTCCTTGGTAGTGCAACTGAAGAAAACAATCAACTATGGGTGGCAAGGCATTATCAAAAGATCTCCTGGATACAGTTGTGGACAGGCACAAGTCAGGAGATGGATACAAAAAAAATTCAAAGGCTTTATCAGTGCCTAGAAGCACAGTGAAGTCTATTATTAAGAAGTGGAAGGTATTTGGTACAACACAGACCCTCCCTGGGTCAGGACGTCGCTCCAAACTGGATGAAAGAGCCAGGAGGAAACTGGTCACAGAGGCTACCAAGAGGCCTACAGCAACTCTGAAGCAGTTGCAGGAATTCATGACAAAGAGTGCTCATTGTGTGCATGTGACAACAATATCACAAATTCTCCACAAATGTGGCTTGTATGGGAGGGTTGCAAGAAAAAAGCCACTCCTCAAGAAAGGCCACAATGCAGTCACGACTGAGCTTTGCCAAAACACACCTTGAATATTCTAAGGCCACGTTGAAAAAGGTGTTATGGTCAGATGAGACTAAAATTGAATTATTTGGCCTCAACACCAAACGATATGTCTGGCGAAAATCCAATACAGCAGCTCACCATCCAAATAACACCATTCCTACAGTAAAGCATGGAGGTGGTAATATCATGTTATGGGGTTGTTTCTCTGCAGCAGGGACTGGAGCACTAGTCAGGATAGAAGGAAAAATGGATGGGGCAAAATACCGTCAAATTCTTGAGGAAAATCTGCTGCTCTCTGCCAGAAAGTTGTCAATGGGAAGAAGATTTACCTTCCAACATGACAATGACCCAAAGCACACAGCAAAACTGACCACACAGTGGTTGAAGGAGAAAAAGGTGAATGTCCTTGCATGGCCTAGTCAGAGCCCAGACTTAGGCCCCATCCACACTACTGCGTTTTAGTTTAGAAACGGATAATTAAAACGCATACGATCTCCGTCCACACCAGCGTTTTAGCTGCGTACTAGAATTGATCTCCGTCCACATTAAAATGACTGAAAACGCGGATCACGTGACCATTCACCAACACTGGGCATGCGTGTGCCGGTGTAAACACAACTTCATTGATAAAATGATCCCACCATGCTCTGGGTTAACCCCAAACTGACGCTCCATGTACGGTCAACGCCGCCGCTGCACACGGGAATTGTCACAGATCGCTCGAATAATAGCTTGACTCCGGCGCATGTAGGCAGTTATAGCGTTGTAAAATGCAGAATTTACTTGTACAACAGCTGCTAGCAAAGATATACGCCATGACTGATGACACCCAATCACAGAGCCGAGCGTGAACCTCTACTACGTCATCGTTTCTAAAGTCCTCCGTTTTGACCCGTCTACACTAAAACGCCCTCCGGAGATTCAAAACGAAAAACGGATCGGCAGCGTTTCTAAACTTTTCCGTTTTGGGTCTCCGTTTTTGCCGTTTTAGTGTGGACGGGAGGTGCAAACGTAGCAAAAGGTCTCCATTTTTAAACGAAAACGCAGTAGTGTGGACGGGGCCTTAAACCCCATTGAAAATCTGTGGAATGACTTGAAGACAGCAGTCCACAAATGGTCACCATCAAATTTAACTGAACTTGAGCAGTTCTGCAAAGAAGACTGGTCAAATATTGCAACGTCCAGATGTGCAAAGTTAGTAGAGACATATCCCAACAGACTAAAGGCTGTAATTAAAGCAAAAGGTGGTTCAACAAAATACTGAAACAAGGGGGTGATCCTTTTTCCAACTCAGTGATTTTTTTTTTTTTTTTTTGAAATTTTTCTGATATGTTGGTGTTATATCTTTCACTTGGATGTTATAAGTTGCACTGAGTAAATACAGCTGAATGAAACAAAAACTGTGTCTGTCTTAATTTTAGGCTGCAAAGCAACAAAATGTGATTATTTTAAAGGGGGTTGATTCTTTTCTATACCCACTGTAAATATAAGGGCGGGTGGAGACATTGAGCTTCTGGTAACTTTAAGACCAGCTTCCAGGGAACCGCATGTCATATCTACTGATCTAGAACAAATTCAAGTGAGCTGTAGACATGACTAAGTGAATAATTAATAACATGACATAAATAAATAAATGACAGAAATATAATTATTTACTTCTCTGGTGCTGCATTAGATCTTTTATGAATTACTGAAATTGAATGAAAATGTAGATGGAAATAGTGCATGCAACTAAAATAATACATTTTAAAAATATTGATAATGAAAAATAGATTTCTGATAACATTTAAATGGCAAATTTAAATTCTGATAACATTTAAAAACAATGTTGTTGAATTTGTACATGAAATACTCACTTACGGCAAGTGTGATGTTAAATTTACTGAACAGAATTAACATACCTTAAAATGTATTAAAAACAACAGTTCAGGCAGAAAATCCATATCAGATTATAAATTTAAGACATGGGTTGCATATGTTGTCAACAGGAAACAGCTTTTTTATTAGAATGTATCATGTTAAACTAATAAGGTTTTAAAAAAGAGCAGATCTTATCAGCAATAATTACTCATAATAAACACTGTGAGTATATGAAACAGCATTTTCCCAGCCAGTTGCAACGTTCATTTGAATTTTGAGGTTTTGGTTTGTTCTTATCAGTTTTGGGGGCAACGTATATCTGATTTAAAAAAAAAAAAAATCAAATAACTATTAAAGTTACGCATTACTTTTGAATTACCAACAAGTTACTTTTTCCAAATAAGTAATGCTACTCCTTTTCCCATTTATTGACTAACATCTCTTCTTTCCTCATGTTGAGAGAAATCTTGAGTAAGGTTTAGAGGCTTTGTGTGCGCTGTGTGTGAACATGATGCTTATTGTAGTTCTAGACTAAATGTGAGCCTGCATTTACTCCTCTCACTTGAACAAAAACAGATTCAGTATTCCTCAAAATGAATAAAAACAGTGAAAAGCAAACTTAGAATATTGTGCAATAAATATGTTAAATCACATAAATGTACTTTTATGTTTTTAATCTCGCTTTATTATCCAATTTCTTTGCAGCTGACTTCAACTTCAAATAAGCAAAAATGACTTCAGTTAATCATCACATTTGTGTTTCCTTTTCTTTCTTTCTTTCTTTCTTTCTTTCTTTCTTTCTTTCTTTCTTTCTTTCTTTCTTTCTTTCTTTCTTTCTTTCTTTCTTTCTTTCTTTCTTTCTTTCTTTCTTTCTTTCTTTCTTTTTAATACTGAAGTAAAAGTGTTTTGCCTCTTAATCTGCATTTCCTTCAGCCTGAGGCTTATTCATTTCACCTTTGGTCTGAAAGGGCCTTTACATTTGCCAAAAATATAACTTTTTATTTAATTAAAACATTACTAAGCCAGCCCAGCTTAGAAAAAGTAACATAACACATAGATAATAAAATATAGACTAAAAACGAGACCTTCCCCGACTTGTCTACGAAAGCCTGATGTTGACTTTATATGTAAAGGACTCTGGACGTTTTTGTCATGCAGGGAAATAAAAATTATGTTTCCCGAGAGCCTCTTTTCTGCTTTATGACACAAGAAACAAATGATTATAAAATGTTCAGGATCATTTGTTTATTTTGTTATTTAAATGAAAGCGCACAGTACATATATATTACAATGCATATTCTGTTTATTGAAAGACGTTTTGAGGGCAAATGAACTTAACTTTAAAAAAGCAAAATCACCTAATTTCATCAGCAATTAATTTAATTAACAAATCCAAAAATGCTCTTTATCCATGGAAGATATGCTGAAATCTGAATATAAACTTAGATATAAACAGTTTAGACCCTAAAGATTCATATTAACTTGTGTGTATTAACCACAAAAATGGCATTATATGACCCCTTTAAACATTTGGAAACATATTTGATTAAGAACTAGTAATTATTTATAATTATGTTTTTGATCCATGGAAGAAATGCTGAAATCTTCGTATAAACTTCAGGTAGTTCAGGTGAATTACAGAGATAAGTGTCACCGAAAGATGTGACACCAACTGCAGTGTGTCCACAAACCAAAGGACCTCCTGAATCCCCCTGTTAAGAAACACAGATCAACACGTCACTAAAATGCCAGTTATCACCTTTCTCTCTTCAGCACATTGAGACTGCTTCATGCATTGTAAAGTCTTAAATATATCAAAATAATTATTTATTTATTATTCTATAGATATATTTATTTTATTTGTTAATTACTAATATTATTAGCCTATTATTAAAAAAAAATTAAAAAATTGTACATACACCACAGCTTCCTCCATCGCCATATACACACATCATCTGTCCAGCTGAGAACGTTAATCCCCAAATATGTTTACATTTTTTGTTATTCATGATCTTCACATTTGTTTCCATGAGGACTGGGCTTGAAGTGCCATTAGTTACTAAACTTCCCCAGCCTGCAACACTGCAAACAGAATCTGCTGGGATGTCTCCTTCTGTCTTTGGTATTGAAATCCATTCGACATGTTTGTTCTTTTCGACTTTTTTCTTTAGCTGCAATCAAAAAAACACAATTATATGTTAATAGACCGTGTTTAAATGATTAGCTATCATTTTGAACAACTGGTATAAATGCAGTCTGTTACCCTCAAAAGCATGATGTCATTCCGATAAGGATTTTCACTATAATCCAGATGTTTGTAGTAGGACTCCACTTTAATGCGGACACCTCCTTCATTCATTTTTCGTAGATCATGTGCACCAACCACAACTGTCAGCTCTTCTGTTCTGTTTATGGAAACATTCATCTTAACTACAGCTTTTAGATTTCTTTATTCTTGCAGAAAAGATTGTGAAGGTATGATGAAACCATTTAATTAAGATTGTACTTTGAATTTAGTTTACTTTTAATCTTCTAAAAAGATTTCAGATGACCCAAAACCTGTGAAGAGATTACGCCGACCCCTATGAAGACTGCCAACTCTGAATCAACATGCACCACTGTCAAATTTTCTATATATTGTAATTATTATGATCACAATTTGTACACTGTAAAAAAAACATTGTTGCCTAAATTTTTTAAGTACAATCAACTTAGATGTTCATTAAGTTACATTAAACTAACTTAAAAAAATGAGTTGAATCTTTTTTTTATGAAAATTGCTTTACTTATTTTGATGAGTTAAAGCAATGTAAAAACATGTCATAACTTATTTGTCAAAATTTTTACAGTGTAATAGTTCATTTAATGAGATCATTGTATCTGCCTAAATTAATACAAGATATCAGCTAACTGCATGATTTGTATTAGCACTGTATATTTTTGTCATATGGACATTACTTTCACAGTCACCTCTGATAACAGATCACTCTAAATTGTAATGTAGAAACATGTATTTTTCTGTAAAGCTGCTTTGAAACGATAATGTTTTGTGAAAATTTCAATACAAATAATTGTGAATTGAATAGAAAATTCATGATTTTAGCTCAGACAAAATTACAGTCTTACTTCTTTCGGCAATGTGCAGCAGTCAAGACAAACTGATCAGAAATGAGGAATCCACCACAGATATGTTGCCCATACACCTGAAGAGAAACCATGTAAGGTCTGGAGTGGGGTTTGGCTTTCCTGCCGTTCACTATACCCACATTCACATGAGCTGAGAGAGAGACATGGTTCTGTCAGTCAACTTATTCAACACATACGAATCAAACATTCTTTAAAAAAAGCATCATAATACACTGTTATAATCAATCTCACCAGTGAAGGTCAGGTGTGGCAGCAGAGAGGCCAGCAGGAGCAGAGAGATGATGATGATGGTCATGATGAAGATGACGATCAGTGAGTGTCTCCAGAAGAAGTAGAGTATTTATAGTTTTTTTCACTGGGTGGAGACTCAGTTTCTCACTTTATGATGTCAGCAACACTGAGTAAATTCTTGCAAATCCTTGTGGTCTAATGTCTAAAACCATAACTTGTTACCATCATGTAAGCACCTGCACCGGTGCTGACATTAGTGCGAGGGAAAAAGCAAGGTCCAAAAGCTTTTGAAATACCCTAAAACAATTTTCTATGTATTACATATATACAAATACAAGTTACAAGTATTTTATAGACTTTGTATATGTAATGCTAATATAGGTCACATGACCCTAAATGCATTGATGAATGCAGTATACATATTTGTTTCATGTTAAATCTAACACATTTCCTATATGCTTACATTGCACTGAAGCCATTTGAAGCATTTCCCCAGATAAATATGTTTTAGTTTGTTTCAGGTTTTGGTCTTTCTTAAAATAGAGTGCAGAGAAAAAGCTAAAGCAATTTCACAGCCTTTTGATGGACGCAGTAAAACTTTACACCCATCGTAGCGAGATGTTATTCAGCTCATCAGCTCCAACCATAGATTTAGAAGACAAAAACTTTTAAAAGATGACGCATATTGTCACAATTAACACTTGCACACAATATATAAAACACAAATATGTTTGGATATTCTTAGGCTGACAAACAGTTATGAGGCATTTAAACATGATAGGTTTTATATTTTTGTGGTCTTTTTAGAAGTAGACCAGGGGCTGTCAGCCATTTGACATGAAGTAATTGTCATCTTCATTATTAATCACTATACTCCAAATCAAAAATAAAATTCATAATGGCTATAAAACTGTAATGTCATATTGTTCTCAAACTGCAGAAGTAAGGTAGAAGTAAACCTCTTGATTAACTTTACGGGAGCTCAGGAAACAAATGCGAGGAAGAAAAATTATATTTTGTGTGCATATTACATTTAGACAGGATGTTACTGCAATTGCATGAGGTTGTAACATTGAAAACTATTTGACTTATTGTTAACACATGATACTTTTATGATACTAATTTCACATACTAGGACTGACGTGTAGTATTTTGGGAAGTTTTTTGACATTTCCACACATAATCCTATGGGGGGCACAATTTCATAGAGTGGTCTTTATGTTGTAATACACTCTTTCTGTCAGAAGAGGGCTCTATAAACACATCTGATGTCAGTTTTGGCTTTGCCAACCCAAGAAAATGCCACACAAAGTGACAAAAAATTCAATATGGATGAAAAAATTTACTACATTATTTTTACTTTATAAAAATATTGAACATTAAATAAAAAAAAAAAATTCCTGTATTTGACCTTATTTGGATAGTTACTGATAGATACTTGGACAGGTACTGATCCTGATTGAATAAATATCAGCATTTTAATTTTTAATTCTTTCATGCATAGAGTCCCTACAGTGGACAGCTACAAAAAGCCCTTTCTTGTATGCATGGGTTTTTATGGCACAGTTTCAAATCAAACACTACAACGGACACTATTGCATCATCCTATACATTGCCACCAAGTGACAAGCCGTTCTATGTCGATTTTTTCCCCCTCCAAACCAAGATGGCTGACAGTCGGTCAGAAATGCCAAGTTGCTCCAGAATCTGCATTCATTCCTTCTCTCCTAGGAGACACTTGCAGGTAAAAAAAAAAAAAAAAATGTTGTAACATCAAGTACATCTAAGAAATCATATCATTGTTCAATTTTCCAAGTATTGCATTTAGATTGGGAGGAAATTCGGATTAATTCTAAATTGGACATTATGCATCACTAGCCATATTTCAGCTACATTCATATTACCGTGACTGTTCTTGAAAATACTTCATCTGCTGTAACGTTTCTGGCTGTAAATAAATGTATTTGTGTTATTAGTAATTTCAGGTTACATCAAAAAAGTAATGTTATTACGAAATGCATGTTACTTGTAATGCGTTGCTTGTAACATCAAAAAAGTAATCTGAGTATGTAATGCATGTTACTTGTAACATCACAAAAGTAATCTGATTATGTAATGCCCCCCAACAACGCTTAGTTCAAATGATATTAAAAAACACCTGATCGCTAGTTCCCTTTCAAGGGAACTTCGAGCTGCGTTTGAGACGCGGTGGGAACGCTCTGCGTGATTGTGTCATGAAGCACGTGTAAAATCAGTCCAATGGAAGCCCGATACGTCATAGGTGACGTCATAGACCAGGAAACTATAAAGCACCCTTGAAAACAGACCGCGACAGCTTCTGTTGTCTTCAGTAAGCGCTCTCTGTGACTCTGTCCTTGTCTATTTATTGTTGTCTGTCCGATCATTTATATATATATATCATTATGGCGAGCAAGCAAGATTACAAACGTTGTGTTGTCCCTTGCCCTTCGTTTCATTACGGGTGGGGACACACATCAGATGTGTGTTGCTTGTTTGGGAGTGGAGCATGCTCAGTCGGTCCTCGAGGGGGCTGACTGCGAGCATTGCATGAGTTTGTCCATGAAAACTCTCCGCTCTCGCCGGGCATTCTTTGAGGAGGATGGTTCGGTTCGTGTTCCCCGAGGTGCGGGTCCCGCGGCTGCCGAGGCACTGCGGCGGCGTTCATCTTGGGGTTCACATATGGATTTAGTAGCGGGGTTTGAGACGGGCCCCGCCCTTTCTCAGCCCTTACCTGCTGGATCCGGTGTCCCAGCCCAGGAAGGAGCCCGCTCTGCGGTTTCTCCTCCCCAGGCTGAGACACCACTGTTGCGGCTATCCAGTTCTGAGGAACTGGATGTCGTTGATATGGGGGAATTTGAGTTTTCGCCAGCTCATACCCCTGCTGATGAGGAGCTTATGGAGGTTTTATCTCGTGCTGTTACTAAATTAAATATTGAGTGGCCAGCTGATGATATTGATGTTGAATCAAGAAAGAGTCTTCTAGATGAACGTTATTTACCATCTAGATCACGACCTCCTCGTTTGTGGGTTTCACGGGTTTGTGGCTCGTCCCCCAGAGTGTGCCGCGTGATTCAACCAGGCCTCCTGTTTAGATGCGGGATGCATTGTTTTTAAAAGGACTTCACATACAATATATATATATATATATATATATATATATATATATATATATATATATATATATATATATATAACACAAACACAAAGTTATAGGCCTATAAAAATAAAACATTCATAAATTGTTTTATGATTAACATATTCCTGTCTTAAGTGAACTCATTTAGTTATAAACGCAAATAATAGGCCTAATAATAATAATTAGGCTATTATTATTACATTTAGGCTACATATTTAGATATAAGACGCTTTTATCAAAAAAAGAAACAAAGCAATTCGTCAAATGTCAGTCATAAAACAGGTTAGACAATAATACAGGGCTGAGATTATCATAAATAAACACAAGATTTTGACGCATATCCAAGTGTTTGTGCACAAAAAATAAATACCATTGACTTTTTGCCTTTATTAAACATTTAAAATTTTCGCAAATTAATATGGAAAAAAAAATTGATTTTACTTTCTAAAAACTATATTTTGCCCGCAGTGCTAAATGAGAAGAACATGTCTCTGGAACCATAAAGAGAGATGATTTATAGGTGATTTATAGGCTAATCATAATAAATGTTTCTGAAAAATAACGATGGATTTGTATTGTTTAAATGAACAGTTTTCTAGTGACGGGCTAAACATATCTCCATCTCCGCTGTAAAGGATGCACCTTTAGAGAAATGCAGCTTTCGATTCTAATTTGTTCGTTTAAAAGTGGACATTTCAAGCTTTATATAGGCTTTTGTTTCAGTTCATTTATGAGACGCGCTCCGGAGATCATGAAAGCGCGCCTGATTGTTTTATTTTATTTTACAAATACACAACGTTTTCTTGTTATTGTGAGTTTACACAAATTAAAGTAGTTGCAAATAATGTATTATGTATAATGTATTTTTTCTGTATGACCAGAAATGCTAGATTATTTTAAGTTGTTCCACTGTTGATAGGAACATGCAAGCGTTTGCAGACGCGGCTCAGTGACATGCAGTGCGCGCTCCACACAAACACTTGGATATGCGTTAAAAACCTGTGTTTGTTTGTTATAATCTTAGCCCATGTCTAAGACTGACATTTGACGAATTGCTTTGTTCTTTTTTTTTTCTTTTTTTTTTGTGGATAAAAGAGTCTTCTAAATAGGCCTATAGCCTAAATGGATTTGATAGCTAATTATTATTTGCGTTTATTACTATGAATGAGTTCACCGAAGACAGTAATATGTTTAGCCTAACATAAAATAATTTATAACTTATAACCAAATCTTTTATGTGTTATTATTATTTTATTTATTTTCTTCCCTTATTATACTGAGCTTTTTCCTCTAAAAAATTGACTTTAAAGATAAAAGTTGCCTATAGGCTAAACTCATTTATAAATGCAGTTTTCTTTAGAAAATGCAAGAAATTATCCATTTAAAAAAGGGTTTTAAAAACAATGCAATGCATCCCGCATCTAAACAGGAGGCCTGGTTGAATCACGCGGCACACTCTGGGGGACGAGCCACAAACCCGTGAGTACGGATTACAAACCCGTGAGTACGGATTACAAACCCGTGAGTACGGATTGCGAAAGCGTGGGCACGGTTTATGAATTTGTGGGTACAGATTGCAAAAACTGAGGGCACGGTTTACACATCTGAGAGCACGGATTAGGAACTCGTGGGTACGGTTTATTAATCCGTGGGCACGAATTGTTAAACCGAGGGAACAGTTTAAGAATTCGTGAGTACAGTTTATAAACTGAGGGGACGGATTGCAAAACCGTCGCCTCGGATTGTTTTTTTTTTCCCTACAGGTGACTTCCCGGGCTCCGTATTACGGTGATATCTGCTAGTTAAAAAAATTACCCTATTCTCCTGTAGTGTCTCGCCTTAAGCAAAAGGAGTACAACATACACCACCCTGCCTCAATGGAGGCTCCAGATTCAGGGGCCTACCAAGGGAGC